CAGGAGCAGAGGACCCTGGGACCATCTAGGGATAAGAGTGGTATGTGGAAACCTATCCAGAGAAACAGTGATGCCAGAGATGCAGGCAGAGATGATGATGTGGAGAGATGGAGCTGCGGGGGATCCTGGATTCAGGGAAGTAGAGGGGCTGTGTGCTGACGGCTGGTTGTGGGCTTGCAGGGTGTGCCCTTTAATTGTTTAAATGGTTGTATATTCCTGAGTGCCTTGGTGTACATCAAACAACAACAACAACAACAAAAAACCAGAAGGAATGGAAGCAAGTGCTATTGAATGATGATGCATGGAGGGGATTGTAATGAATTCAATGAAATGAAATATGAAAACATGAATGTAAAGCTGATGTTCTCCCATGTAAACTCAATTCACAATAAAAACGTAAAAAAACACACACACAAAAGAACCTCATTTATTCCTCTCTTATAATGCTTTTTGGTTTCAATTTATCTTTGATATCAAGATTGTGATCTCTGCTTTATTTTATTTGCATTTTCATGACGTATTTTTCTTCATTTTTTTGTTCACTTTTAACAGTTCTCCTTGTTTCAGTTGTATGTCTTTTAAGCAGCATAATGTTGGATTTTCCTTCTTAGGCAATTTGAAAATCTTATTTTCCTCCTCAAAGCCCATAGCTCCTAGGATGCAAGAAGCATGAATTGTGTTCTTTTTTGCTTTTGCATACATTGTTGTTAGTTGTTATTAAATGTCAGTGGAGTTGGTTCAGACTCATAGTGACCCAGTATAGTTTCCAAGGAGCAGCTGGTGAGCTTTAACCACCTACCTTGGGGTTCAAATCAACATTGCCCTCTAGAGCATTAACTCACAGTACCACACCAGGATTCCTTTTACAAACATTTATTGTTAAGTGTCGTTGAGTTGATTCCGACCCATACATACATGGAGTCCTCTAAAGTTTAGTTTCTAACTTTTTGTTCTTTTCCTAGAGTTTGGTGATCAACTTGTGCTATAACAAAACACCTAGAAAACAATCAGGCAGTAACTAGTGGGGTCTGACTTCTTTTGAAAGGTGACAAGAACTTGATGTGCGTTCTTCAGGAAAAATTTCAAATACAATTGTCTAAAAACTGGAGAAAAATAATCTTAGGGGAGCAACAGTCATATTTTTTGTTCATAAAATAATCACTTTATTTTGGCACAGAAATATATCAGGTTACAGGAAATAGCTAGAGACAAGGAACCCCTGGAGAGAGCTTCCACTGGTTGACAGGTTG